CCCCAGTATTGTAGTATATAAGATGCAGTAACTTTTCCGCTATTTTCTATATTACTCTTTCCATGTTTATGAATGAACAGAGAATTTCTGCAAGGTTGACTCTGTATGGATGTTGTAGCACATAATTTCCTACTAGTAGACTCCTTAATTCTCGTTGCTATTAAGAATGATGGTACTCTGTGCTTTAAATTCAGACCTTTTGATCTCAAATTGTAGTTGCAATACTTTCTTGAAGCAACTATTCTGATGAGAAGTCCTCTATCTGGATTGTTCAGCTGCTGTTTTCAGATGTCGGTGAACTTAAAGAGTACGCGCTGCATTATGATAAGACTGGCAGATCAAAGGTACTTTGACAAGCCACCTTCCTTGGACATTTTCCTGAGAAATGTAGTGTACTATATTCATGTTGAGGAAATTCTTGTATAGGGAACTGCAGAGGTGGTTTTCACACATCGCTCTGATGCTTTAGCTGCTATGAAGAGATACAACTACCTACAGCTTGACGGGAGACCAATGAAAATTGAGGTGAAGTTTGTGACTCATCCAGTGCCTGCAATATTGCCTGATTTTGCACCAGAAAATCCGCGAGGAACTTTCCAGAGGTAAAAGATCTGCTCCTTCTGGATTTATTGTTGAGGGAAGGATTCAAATTGTCCATGGTATTGTTACACGCAACTAATAACTCTAGAGTAGAGTGATAGTAATAAGATCATTTTGGAGCTAATGATTGAGTTGTAATTTCCTTACTAATGAGCCCTTGCCTACATGTAATGACGCTTTTAAAGAACTGTTTTGGCAGCAGACTAGGAGTTGCAGCAGATGGAAGGGGTCATAATAGTAGGAGAGGCGGCCACATGATTGGACGGCGGGGAGGTTTTATCGATAGAAGCCATCATAAACCTGTCTCAGCCGAAGATCTTGATGCTGATTTAGACAAGTATCATTCTGATGCTATGCACATTAAGTAATATCTTTTATCCTTTTAGTCCTATGGTTCTCTGTTATGCCATGTTCAACTTGAGCCATCTCCAAGAACAAAAGTGCCTTTTGGCGTAGATGGAGAAATCATTGACACCATATAGATTGTAGTAGGGTACATAGATAGCTAAATACCCATTGCTAACTTAGCTCACTTTGTTTGGATCGTAATCTGGATATACGTTTCATCAGTACTAGTGCATCGTTGTGGCGAGAGGATTTAACATTGTTCAATTTATTGTGATTCCACAAGATTTTTCTTGCATTACACAGTGTTCCCTCCAGATTCTTTAATCGTGTGCTTAGTCTGCACCGCTTGTCTTTCTTTTTTTTGGTTGAAAAGATAATATATAATACTAAGGTTGATTGTTACAAGGAGAAGAAGGCGACATACACAGTGGCCTAGCGGAGCGACCTCGTGGTGGGTCGTGACAAAAAGGGGATGTACTAGGGACATCCGTTTCCGGGGTGGGGATACAAAAGTCTGCGCCGCTTGTCAAGTTAGTGCTACAGATTTTTTATACTTGGTTAAGTTTCATGTTTGGTCTAGATCATTCGTCTGGACTGTTTTAATTTCTCTATCAATTTTCTGGTGTCAAGAATAGCTTATTCAGACAAATCTTCAGTATGATTTCTGTAACCTGTGTCACAGAGCTAAGTCCTAACGTAATTTTTTGTAAAATATTTCGTGGCTAGTCAAACTATACCACATAAAATGGGATGGATGGAGTATTAAACAACTCGATAATTGTTTGATATAATAGTTTCACATTGCTAGTATGATTTAAGAGATCTACTTCATTTTACCCAAAAATAAAATAAAAAAAGTTTAAATTCTTCGGGTAGATAACTTTATCTGTACTGTTTAACCTATTTTCATTTAAACAAAAGAGAACTAAGTTAATCAATAATATCTAGACAAAATAGGGTACCAAATTCGGACGAAAAGAGCAGTTTTAAGTGATTTCCTTGAAAGATGGAACGCCTAATATCAACTTGTGAATAGTACTTTCAAGAAAAAGAAAAGAATAGGCGTAATGTGCTAAGATGCAACGAGTCAAAGTCAGAATTATTTCCAAGTTTTGCCATATAAGATTCTACACGGGGAATAGATAAGAGGATAAATATATTAGATTATTGAGGCTTAAGTACACAGTAAAACTTGAAATGCCTTTCGAGCTGTTCAGGCGCTCAGGAAAAAGTGAAAAACTAATATGCTTAATTTTATTATTTCTTCACCTGCATTCCTATACCCAACAACGGGAGTTTTCAAAATTTGGTACTTCTCGACTGTGGTAGTAGATTCAATCAAGGTCTGACTAAGGGTGTGTTTGGTACGAAGGAAAATATTTTTCGAAAAATATTTTTAATTTTTCCATATTTTGTTGACTTAAATATTTTGAAAAATATTTTACTCATGAACTCATTTTCTTATAATTGGAGGAAAATATTTTCCCTATCAAGAGAAGGAAAAATATTTTTCAAAATTCTTCTTTAACCTTTTCCACCCTATCCCATCCCTATCCCACCCACCCCTACCCTCACTAGAAAAATTATTTGGGGGGAGGGGGAGGGCAGAGGAATCATAGGGATTTGGGGGAAGAGGTGGAAGAGAGTAGCATAAAAATTATTTTCTACTCTCTTAACAAACACTAAAAAATATTTTTCGGAAAATTTTTTTCACTCACCAACCAAACAAAGAAAAATTAGTGATAAAACTAATCATTTTCCAGAAAATAGAAAAATATTTTTCATGAAAAACGTTTTCCTTCGTACCAAACACACCCTAGGAGATAAAATATTTAGTTATTCTCTTAAAGCCAAAAGGTATTAGAACAAAATCCGTTTCCTTTAAAGTAATTTCAATTAGAGAGCACTACTTTTAGCTTTGTCACAAGCTTTATTTACAAACAAACAAAAGTCAATTGTTACTCTCAAGAGCAAAACACTATGAGCACCTAAGCAAAGTCATGAGCTGGCACGCTGATGCGAACAGGAAATTGAAAATACAGAAGAGTTCACTAAGGAACAAGGGTTCAAAGGTGCTCATGAACAGAGACTCGATTGAAATCACCTAACAGGATTTAGAAGAGAGTGAGAGGGGGTGGGGGGTGGGGGTATAGATAATTAAAATTTTATAAAAATTATATTCATAAGAAATTTGGACTTTATCCTAAAATTGTAACGACCCGGCCGATCGTTTTGAGCGTATTAGCCCCGATTCCCTATTTACTGCATTCCCCGTATCTGTTTCTGCTTATGTGACTCGCCGGGAGGTCTTGTTTTGGTTTTGGAGTGTTTTGGGACACTTAGTCCCTAAAACGAAAGTTTAAGTATTAGGATTTAGACTGTAGTAGGAATGGTGTGAAGATGACTCTGGAATAAAGTTCTGTCTGTTCCGTTAACTCCGTTGGGTGATTTTGGACTTAGGAGCATGTACGGACTGTGAATTTGAGGTCTGTAACTGATTTAGGCTTGAAATGGCGAAAGTCGAATTTTTGGAAGTTTGATCCGGTGGTTGACTTTTGATATAGAGGTCGGATTCCGATTCTGGAAGTTGGAGTAGGTCCGTAATGTTGAATATGACTTGTGTGCAAAATTTGAGGTTAATCGGGCGTGGTTTGGTATGATTCGGCATCGTTTGTAGAATTCGGAAGTTTAGAAGTTCTTTTAGGCTTGAATCCGGGAGTAATCGGTGTTTTGGTATTGTTTTGAGTGATTCGAAGGTTCGACTAAGTTCGTATTGGGTTATATGACTTGTTGGCATGTTTGGTTGAGGTCCCGGGGGCCTCGGATAGATTTCGAGTGGTTAACAGACTTGATTGTTTGAGTTGATGAAGCAGTTGAAGAGCTGCTGCTACTGGTGTAACCGCACCTGCGCAGTGGGCACCGCAGGTGCGAGCACGCAGAAGCGTGGCATGAATCGCAGATGCGGGCAAGGCCATGAAGGACAGGGGTCGCAGGTGCGATGAATTTCCTGCACCTGCGTTAGCGCAGATGCGGACAAGTGGACGCAGGTGCGAGGGCAGCTAGGAGAGAGTGACTCCGCAGAAGCGAGGCCAGGGCCGCAGATGTGCGTTCGCAGGTGCGGAACCTAGAGCGTAGGTGCAGGCCCTAGAGGTGCAAGTGACTTCCGCAAAAGCGGAAATTTCCCCGCAGATGCGGCGTCGCAGGTGCGACAATAGGTCCGCAGATACGAAAAGTCTGGGCAGAAGGTTTAAAAGCAATGGTTCGCGATTTTAGTCTTATTTCAACATTTTGGACTCGGACTTAGGCGATTTTGGAGAAGATTTTCGAGGTGATTATTGAGGTTAGCTTCCTCATTTTGGATTATAAAACGTGTTTCCCCACAAATTTTCCCACCTAATTAGTGAGATTTTAAAGTGAAATTTGGGTCTCCTAATTTCCAGGAATTAGTCACGTCAATAGTCTTCGATGGTTATACGGGTATCCAAAGGACGAACGAGATGGATGTTTGTTGTCCCAACCATTCTTTTAGTCCCAAGCCCGCTAAGGAAAGGGCTGACTTAGAACAAAGTTTTCGTGTTGTTGATTCCTAGGTGTAGTGCTTCTTCCCCTATGCTGCCTATTAGCGCTAGTAGAGTAGGATTGAACCGTAATACAGAACCTCTAGGCGTAACCTTTCACTTAATACTAGAATCGAGAATCGAAACATAGCATCTGAGGTTGCATTAATCGAGGATACACGACAGAAGGAATTGTTCTTTTTCCAAACTTCACCTTCAAAAAGCATAGATTTTTTTTCAAAACTTTTCTCGAATCACGTGTTTTTCTCCTCGTAAGACTGAGAGAAATGAATAACTATGAAATAAAAAAAAAGAATCAAATCACACCATCTATGTAATAGGGGTTTAGGGCTTGCGAATTAGAGAGTGAATTTTGGGGATTTGGATGACCAAATGGTGTCGGATTTTGATAAATTTAGTATGGTTAGACTCGTGAGTGAATGGGCTTTTGGGTTTTGTGACTTTTGTCAAATTTTGAGGCGTGGGCCCGGGGGGCGGGTCGAGCCTATTTCGGATTTTGACTTATAATTTCGTATTTTTCTTGTGGAATTGATTCCTTTAGCCTATATTAATTATACTGTACTGCTTGTGGCTTGATTCGGGGCGTTTGGAGACTGATTCGAGGGGAAAAGGCATTTCAGAGTAGGATTTGCTCGGTTTGAGGTAAGTAACACTTTCAAACTTGGTTTTGAGGGTTCGAAACCCCGAACTATGTGCTATACGATTGGTATTGAGGTGGCGCATATGCCAAGTGACGGGCGTGCAAGTGTGCATCGTGAGAATTGTGGCCTGGTTGATTCCATGGCAGTGTATAGTGACTCTATTTTGTTGATATCCGTGTTTTCATCTTGTGATAAAATAATTGAGCTGTCAATCATGCTAGATATCATGTTTAGGTTTTATGTCGGTACTGTTAGGACCCCTAGTGGTTGTTTCTTGCTGTCATCTCACTGATTTCATTGATATTATGTACTCAGTCATGTTCATGCATTTCATATCATATCTCAGTCTCAGTTGTTAGTTATTGATACATCATATCATTGTTTCGGGCTAGTTTTCATGATATTGTGAGCCCGTGACCTGAGCCTGGAGAGATTGATAACTGACTGAGGCTGAGAGCCTGATTATGAGTGACAGTTATGGGATCGGGCTACACGCCGCAGCGGTTATACTGATTTTATGATAGCGCTTGGGCTGTAGGAGCCCCTCCGGAGTCTGTACACTCCCCCAGTGAGTGCGGTTGATATTATTGAGGGATGGATCTTCCCTGGACATGGATCTTGTCCGAAGTACTTGATACCTGGAGATGGATCTTCTCCACAGGGCTGGATTGGCCTTCCTCGGTACTGGGTGACTTATAGTCAATGACGTATATGTTCTGGGATGGATCTTCCCTGGGCCGTATGGGCCATATACAGTACCTAGTGGTTGAGCATTCAAGAGTGTGAGCACATGAGGCTGGCATCATGGTGCATCACGTACAACATGTGCATTGGCATGTAGAGATAGCAGAGTTATATTCTTTACACTGTTCAAATCTGCTTCACTTTACTGTTTTGAGTTGCCTATTTAATTTGAAAGCATGCCTACGTTTCTGTTCAGTTATTTCTATTTTATCTGTACCGGTTGAGTTCATCACTACCTTTCAGTCCAAAGTTTGGACTTGTTACTTACTGAGTTGGATGTACTCAAATTACTCCCTGTTGCTGATTGAGACTTCAGAGTTCGGAGACTACCAGGGTAGCAGCACGGCGTTTACAGGCCTTGACTCTTCTTCTATATCACTAGTTGTATTTTCAGTTTATTTCTCTAGACACTGTAGTGCACTGTATTCTGTTTTAGACGCTCATGTACTCAGTGACACCCCGATTTTGGGATGGATTGTATCGTATTTTGGATATTTATGTTTTCAAAAAGGCTTTCCTAAATTATTAAATTGCTTCCGTCTTTTTGTTCAAAGATTTTTTTTCTGTGTTGAGAGGT